TTATGCATTCATCTAGGACATCAAGCTTCTTAAATTTTATTTTGCATTTTCTTCCCTGTTCTGGGGTTTCATGACTCTATACTTATTTTTGAAATTTTGTGTAATTGCACTACTTTTTCAAGTTGCGCTTGCAAGCCGGGTCTTATTGTACGACATCTTCTGTTCTACCACATAAAATGCAATGTTTTACTTTCATTTCGTCCCTTTTGCTATTTCTTTAATTCGTCGTAGTCATAAAAGACTCTGTCATCACGCTCTGCACAAAAGTAGTGCAATTACACCAAATGACTGCTGGAATGAGGGCGACTATAAATCACTTTACTTTCTTATGAGAAAAATTTTGAAATGCATTTTTTGCAAGTTTTTGCTAGATACTTTTTGCAAAGAACTGGATAGAAACCCTCCTCTCTTCCACTCTTTTTTTCTTCTGCAAACTTTCGCTAGTACGAACTTTTCACTACTTTCCCCTTGGACTAGTTTTCACATTCCATTCATTCCGTTCATCGTAATGTTCTTTTTACACTAAACTCTTCCTCAGTGATTGTTCAGTTCATCCATAATGAAAATGCATTATAAAAACGCATAGAAAGCTTGTTGGTTACTCAGGTGAGGGAACTAGTCCTTGGACAACCAGCCCAGCGTTCATTTTCAAGAAAGCGGAAACTCCGACCATAATGGCTGGGTAAGAGAAAGGAGAGTAGACGTGGGTAGCTGACTGGTTAGTCTCGTTGTCCGTCGGTGTCTCTTTGTTCTGCTACTGGAACTGCTTCTTCTTCTTCTTCTTCGCTCTACGGGGGCTGCATGTGACTTACGGGGGGCTGTTTTGGACGTCTTCGAGAGCGTATTGGTACTTAGCAAGGGTTATTGTTCTCCGGGATTCACTATGGTAACCGTAGAGGGAATAGAAAACAAAATTGGATACTCAAGGGACGTCGCATAAACAAGGCTATTATGGCCACGGCTTCATTACTTACTTATTTACTAATTTTTTTTATTTACCACAAAATGTGCGCTTAGACTAGTCAGGAAGTCTAGGAAATGGCCATTAGGAAGTCAAGAAATTGAACTTAACGCAGAAATATGCCATAGAAAAAATGATATTGGTCAAAAGTAACTTGGTTTATATTTTTGAACTATCAAAATCAAATACTTATTGTCATTGGGTATTTTCAAACTATCGAAACTATTATTATAGTGAGAGGTTCCACATGGGAATTCAAGAATGTATCAACAATCTCTTTGTACATGTCTACGCAAATAACGTTCTACAACATTTAGAAGAGATTTATTTATTAGCGAGAGCATAAATTTAGCCTTCTTGCGAAATTGCAATTTATCCGGTTGTTAGGTGATGAAACTTCAATTTCAATTCTATTTTTGACGCACGAGAATTTTGAAATCGTATCATCACACAACAGCATTATATTAATTCCAAGATTTCTCCATCCCATAGATTAGTGCCCACTTACAGAAATGATTCTAATTTTCCTTTCGAAATTAAAAATTCGAGATTTTTTCACGAACAAACTTACATGATGATAAGAACGATAAAATATCTGTCCGTGGTCATAACAAGGGTGTTCTTTCTAAAAAAGCTTTTGGCAATTTTTTCTAAAAAGATAGCTGCTGCATCGCATTTTTATTAAGGATACCATATACTTTAACAAATAAGGTGTTTTTCAATCATATAAAATATCTCTACTTTTTCGGCAGTTTCCTTATTTTGTCCTTTTTTGGATCTTTTTTGTTAGCTGGAGTAGGGTGTTCTAATCAAAGTTTATTGCTTAAGCCATGCCACAACTCCGCAAAATTTTTTTACAAAACTGTCTTCATGTTCTTAGTTCTAAAAATCTCATTTGTACGTATAAAAAGGAGTCATGCGCAAAAAACTCCAAAACTATCTCCCTCTCTTCCCCCCCCCCCTTCCCGCTCGTCTACCACTAATATGTATTTTGAAGTCAGCTGAATGTGTAATTTTCCAAGATTTGTAAGTATAGAAAATTTGAAAGCAAACTAGCACCCCCCCCCCCCCTCCCCCGCGCTTCCTCCCTTCTCGGTGTTTTGCCCTGCACTTTTTCTTTTGGGCTGGGGAGTGAGGACAGGGGGTGGAGCGGCCCCTCCGCATGAGAATTTGTCTCAAAGTTTCTGAAATTAGCAAAAATTGCACAAGTGACTTGTTGTTGATTATAAACAACTAGGATAATTCTTTAGATTTTTTTGCAAAATATAGTTTAGCTTGCGGAAAAATCTCTGGCAACCATGTTTTTTTGAAATTTTGTGGATAGGCTCGCAATCATTCAGAATTTCAAAACATCTTTTCGGTGGGCTGCTACTTGATACACCCTGATACTCATCCTTTTCCTGGAAGAAGATCAGTGAACGCTCATGATTCAATAGGTTCAACTCATATTTTGCTTTATTTTCAAACTTTGGTGGACCTCGTTCCAATAAAACCTCCACTTCATCCATCCACCAATCCTCCGCGACTGTGGTGAAAAGTGGTGACATGTAGGAATGTATTCCCTACGGGAACTTGCAATAATGTGGCTGAATAATCGTTGGCCGAGACTCGGCTCTCGATGTGCTCTCTCGAGACTCAAAGATCCGCTAGAAATCCTCGGCAGTAACGAGTAGTCGATGCATTCGCTTCAGTGCGCTTTCACTTTGTTTGCGCTCGGTTTTCTCTTAGCGATTACTCTCAATTCATTGCGATTCTGCCAGATTCTAAGTAAAGTCTCTTCAACTCAAAGGCAGTGTCTTGATTTGAAAAGCGCAATGTTTCGTTTTATAACCTTGGTCAATAAAAACCGGCCTCTCTGGCTTTGTCCTCAGCAAAGGAAGTTTCGTTTCCGGTCTGTTTTCCTCGTCGGTCGTCGCCGGAATCATCGACTTGTGTACATTGTCGAGGTGTGTGTGTATCTGTGTGTGCTGTAATAATTTCTTTCGTTCTTCCTGTCTTCTCAAGGTTGCTACGATATTGTTCATGACACCCAAACTACCACTATTACTCTTAATTACATTCACTCAGTGCTAAATACATTATTTACCTTTTCTGCATCGTACTCCATAGATGGATTTTCCGGTAACATAGAAGTAGATATAATTTATTGCACAGTTGTGTGCTCAGAGGGTTGGAATAATGTTGCACGCTAGTTTGCAACACTTGGCTACCAGAGAGGACGTGCATGAGATAGGCGCAGACGGCAGCGACCGCGCCGCACCACGTGACGCAACGGACAGGGTATCATGCACCCCGGAACGCATGGGGTTTTCCATGGCTGATCAACGCGCGATTGTTTGTGAGAAGCTAGTTCAATTCATGTCTTCACCTCGACTTCAAGAAATCCAAATTTGTTTTGTGTTTCATTGAGAGGAATTTTTGAAGGATGGACTCACTTGTTTTTGAGCTTCAGGATTTACTGAATTTGAATGCCGAGGATTGTCTCCTTTCAAGAAAAAATTTTTGGATTGCCACGGGTTTCTAACATCTAGGTTTACATACCGTCCGTGAGAAGGATTTTTGAAAGAAGAGATTGTGAATCAGCATATCTGGTAAATATGCGGATGATGAAGTGCTCCTGCGGTGCCGACAACACTTGCGCGTAAAAGTCCAATAGTGCGCAGTTTGAAATGTTTGTTTGCACCAGTGGTTATATGATACGCGCAATTGTTGTCGACACCGTAAGGTACATTATGATTTATCAAACCCATTGAGGAAAATTGATCGTAAAGCCCCGTTCAGCAAGGAGCTTGCTAAGGGGTGAAATTCACGCATTCTTCCTAAACTCTTTCTTTCCATTCGTATAGCATCCAGCACCATGTATGGTAAAACAACCGAAGGGAGGATTGATTTGTGGGCAGTATTGGATTACCTTGCGGGTCATCGGATCCTTTCCGATTATTCGCACTCCATCGGACGTAAACACTCCATACGGCAGGAACCACCTTTTGACCAGAATACCCGTACATGCCATTGCGCAGATCGATACATTGGCCAGCAATTACACACCACTGACATTTATTGGATTGAGTGTTGCCATGATGTCTGATCTGGCACCGGCGTGGAGTGTCCGCACATCTGATGGATCGGGCGAAAACCAGTTACGCGCATAACTTTCTCCTTCCAACGTGTTCCGCGTTGATTTTACCTTATTTACTGCCTCATCCGTTCCCCGGGTAATTGTTGTCCATCGCATCGTCTCTTGCTACGGATAAGGATATAAACAATCTACTAGTATTACCGTTTATTGCATGCACATTCACGAGCGTCATGTGATCCCGACTGGATAATAGTTCTGTAAAATCGCGAACACGTTTGCACAAGAACTTTGCGCGCTCACTTTGAAGTTTCTTTCCTGGCGCCATTTCTTTTCTCGCCATAGAGCAAGTTATCAGCTAGCCATGTCCAGGAAAATGCGCAAACAAATCAACTCTATACATTTCCGTATAGGTAAGGATCAGTTTTTTTTGTATCCCCTTTTGAATATGTTTAGAGAGTCCAGCTTAAAAAGCTTGGTCTTCTTTGTAAATACCAAATCCAGTGTTTATTTAACTCTATCGGTTACGTTTTCTTTCTTCTTATTATGATTTTTTCGATACAATGTAATGTTTAGATAAAACAGGAAGCACTTGCGTAGCATTGCATGACTTTTCATAAAAAATAATGACTTTGCTTAGTAATCGTGAAATTTTTTAAAACTAAAATTTTTAAAATGACGGATTTATTCCACTTTTCAATTTTCTCTCTTGCTCCATACATGCAAGGAGCTATATATTGGACACTGACTATAGTATTTAAATTTATTTCTTTTTCTTTGTTTGAGTCCATGCCAAGAATACACTCTCAACAGCTTGCTTTTATCTTTGCTCTATAAAACATGGTGAAATCTACTATTTTTACATCGTAGCACACTATTTCCCGGTCATTTCTCTCCATTTTTACAATCAGGAAACGTCATTCTTACCTTTCCTACCTTAGAACTAATTGTTTTTTCTTTCAGTTTCGCCAGTGGTAGAGACGTGTCCATCACGCGCTGCTTCTGTATCTCGCGGTGCTGGACCAATGCCAGCTCCAGATGGTCGCGCTAGATCCGCCGGCCAGTATAAATCGCAAAATCGGACTCTATCGCCAGCACATCCAGATGCAGCGGTAAGTATAAGAGGAGTTTATGAATTTTATGACAATTTATGGCGTTTTTTCCTTTTTTTTTCTTTTCGATCTTCTCAAGTAGCTGAGAAGAATTGTGAAGTGATGTTTACTTGTTACTGATTGCATGACAAATAAGTCATCTGGTGTAGTTTGGTGCATGCTTACATTCGGGTGTAATGGAATGCGGAGAACTTTTAGAACCGGAGAATACCAAATCTGCACAGGCGTAATGATGACTTTGCTATCATCAAACATTTTGCAGCCATGCGCTTTGATCGACAAGCTGCGGCCAGCAAAATTCGATTACATCCTCAGCTCTCAGCATATGATTGATCGACAAACACAAGAAATGCATGCATGGAATCCAGATGATCGGTAAGTTTTTTTTGTGTTTCAACTTGATTAAGCGGTTGAAAAGTTGGGTTTTAGATCGTTAAATATCTTCGTAAAAGATGATGATTGCTTCACTTTCCATCGACATCCCGTTGCGCAGAGTACAGACTGTATCAGGGGAAAGGTGAGCACTTTTCTTCCTTGTGACATTTTCATGGCATAAATTTGACTTGAATTGTTTTGTCAAGGTTTTTAACTGATTTATCCGAAATTTTATTTCACCCTCATGGCAGGAAAGCCTTTGGGATGCGGAATTCGTTCAATGTCAGTTCTCTGTCTGAGTACATTGAATCATACAAAAAACGCCGCTCCGTTGCTGTTTGCGCTTTCTCAAGTACAAGCTGAGTCTCGCTAGTTTTTGCACATTAGCTGCGAAAATCCAGTGATTTTCATGTAGAATTACTCGGCGATTTTCATAGGTTGTTAAATCGATGTAGAAAAGTTCTTCAACAAAATGAACCGAGTTCTCTGTAGAGGAACTTCTTTACAAAGCTGAATGTACTTTATTGCTTTCATTTGTAGATGGGATATTCAAGTGGATTTCACGTATGGCAGTTGGAATGGCCTCAACGGCAAAGAGGAACTCATGCGGTTGTTGGAGTGGCTACCAAAGCAGCTGCACTACATGCTATGGGCTATACCTCTTTGATAGGAACAAATACTGAGAGCTACGGCTGGGATCTCAGTGAGTCCCTAAGTAATCATTTCACTACTTATAAAAATGAAGGTGTATGTCGTTTCCGTTTTCAGAATATGCGGAACCTCACTTATATGTGCAAAAAAATAGCGCTATAACTAAAGGCTGAAATGCCGTATTTATTTGCCCGTGATCACAGTAAATAATTTTTCAGCACGAGGTGAATGTCACCATGACTCGAAGAACTGCAGTCCGTGGAAGTATCCCAAAGATATGCCCGACCATTCTCCTATCCCTGACAAAGTAAATTGCACAGATTTACCATCAAACCATCTTGCTCATTGTATACTTTTAGTTTTACTGCATTCTTGATATGGACGATGGCTACATGGCATTTGCAACTGATCAGCATTATCTCGGAGTTGCGTTCCGAAATTTGCAAGGAAAGACTCTGTACCCTATAGTTTCGGCAGTTTGGGGTCATTGCGAGATTACGATGAAGTACCTCGGAGGCATCGAACGTGAGCGACCAAAATTTGAGCCTTTGCCATTTTCACCAATTCTTCGCGCTAGTTCCTCTTTTTTATTCTCTTCCCCTAACCATTTTGGCGAATCTGCGCATGATTCTTCGGAAAGAGGCAACCTGGGAATGCCTTTTGATCCAAACGCACCTGTCAGCGCGCTATTGTCTCCTCCATCGCGTGTACGTTATAAACCTTCTGAGCAAGTGCCGATAGTGGAATACAAGTATTTGTGGCCTAATGTGTTTGACGAATGAGACTTTCTAGCTTTGATATGTAGTCTTAGCAGATTTCGGGTTTTGTGAGCTTTTGTCTGCAAATTGTCTGGCTAATGTGATTGTGGTGCTTTTCAGCATCTCCCCGGCCTCTTATGGACATCTGCAGAAGAGCAATCCGCGTTGAAATGGGACGTCACCGCCTCCACAGGGTCAACGAGTTGAGATTGCCGCCGCCGTTGAAGCGCTTCATTGTGCCAGAAGTGCAAGGCGTACCGGAGGGAACTTCTCGCCCAGCCCGGTTTTCCTCTACGGGTCAGCCATCCAAGCTCTAACTACCATTTGTCGTTGCTCCTATTCTTCACCAACGGAAACGCCTTACACAGTGCTCATAAGTTGTGTGTTCGCCCGAAATCTGCTATTATCATTGGGTATTTGAATACTTTCGTTGCTTTGGGCCGCTACGCTGTTAGCTTTTCTATGTTCACATTTTTTACCTAACCACACCATGTAAATAACTGCATATAGTTTTATTTAGATTTATATGGTTGAATGTATAATTGCTTTATATGTGAAATCGTCACTGGTTTCACACTTTCGTAACTTGAAGTCTTTTATAGCCCACTTTCAACCTCCCCTCGGTGATCATTCATTCATCCCTTGTCGTTTGATCGATACTCACTTTTTACAATCGTTACCATCTTCTAGTAATCACATTTTCACACATTAGACAACATGAAGTAGTACTAATTCAATAACTTTTTGCTTGAAAAAATGCCAGATACCTGTCATATTTTCAAAAGCTATCTCCGACGGTATTGCTCCCACACTTGATTTCATGCCTTCTTAGCCAGAAAAGGAATTGTATAGGAGTTTGTATGTGAGATTTGTACGCATTTCTACCTATCCACGTTCACTTTTTCGTTCTCACTTCATCAGTTGTGTCCTCAATCTGCTTTTGTTCGATACATGGCTAATGTTCTACAAGTGGAATTTAAGACTTCTTATGAAGGACCGGTGACATTTTTATCATTTTCTCTGTGTTTTCAAATTGTAAATCGCAATAAAGTACTCTTTCAACAGTGACTATTATCGGTTAGGGTAAAAAGTATCGCAGAACACTTACAGTTTGTGAGAACTTTTCCTAGATGCAGATCATAAAAGGATTGGCGAAGAATCGAACAGAATAAGACGTTCTCATAGGAGAATAATAAGTATGGCACAGAAGTTGAGTTATTCGATCAAAATGGGAGAGTTCTAGAAAATGTTAACTATCATTCGTTAAAATATGATGTTGTCACAGCTGAGTATTTAGATTTTGATGTGATATGTGCACTTGCACACATTTCCAGAAGCGGAGATCGAGACTTCAAAATTCTGGGGTACAAAACTACATAATTGGTCTACTCCAATTTCGAAACTGGGTATTTGCAGGCTGTCGTCGAAGAATATCAATTTTTACATTTTTGAGCATGGACTACGAGGTATAATTGAACAAGCACCGATGTTCTCATATGGACCAACCCTTTCCCGTCATGCTGAGTAAGGCCCCGGACAGACTTCACGCGATTTGATCGTTGCGACTGAATCGCGACGAGACAGCTGTTACAACATCATTCCATGCCGATCAACTGCATTTCGGTTGTGATACTTTTCCAGCCCGAAATTTCTGAATGTGAAATGAAAATGAATGCAAATGTCGGCGATTGAGTCGCGACGATCAAATCGCGTGAAGTCTGTCCGGGGCCTAAAGCATTTTTCGGTATTCTACCGAAAACCCAACAAGATATTAAACCTTTGCTGAGAGACTATGCGTAATATTTGATTGTACTTTATACTTTACTATAGACGCCTAGTTCCGTCCAGAGCTGTCCGCGGCAGTGCCATGATTGATCAATACGGGTTCCCAACGCTAGCACGGCGCTGGCACACGGGCAACAAGTTCGAACAAGTTTGCAACAAGTTCTATGTTTTGACTGCTCTTCGTTCACGATTATTACGGGTCATGCATGGCTTCGATTGTTCTGACTTCTCAAATATTTATTATTTATTTTACAATTACTTTGGACCAAAAGTATAGGGCATTTGAAAAGTTGTGACGATGGCGCGACCGCGCGCGACACGCACCCCACTTCCGGAAGTCGCAATTTCTTGGTTTTCATCTCTAGTCAAGGGTTTTTTGCTTACGTGTGATAATATTCAGACGCTGGAAGTGAATGAACTAAATGTTAAAGTAATGCCCTCTTGTATAAACATATGACATATATATGCTTATGTGGGCACAAAATCCGTAGTAAAATCCGTCGTCACGATTTTGTAAATGAACTATACCTCCCTCTTTGGTCTTTCTCATTATTCTCGCCCTATGGTTCATCTTTGGAATCAGCGCTCGTAAATGTGTCGGCAAATGTAGTGTTTGGGTTGCTGAGTACACATTTGAGCGCCAAATTGGCTATGAGGCACATTTGAAAACTTGGAACTCAAATGAGTTCTAGTCTCGCAGCATTTTTTTCGTGCAAGCGTTGTCTGGTGCCGTAAAAGGACTGTGGCCAGCCGATTTAACTAGACTTCACTAGACTTTGCGTAGTCATGATCGCAGTTTATGCAACTCATTGTTAATTACTCTTGCAAACGACCACTTTCAAAAGCTTTTAGCTGTGCTTAGTGTAGGCGTTATGTAGATGTATTTACGATAAAACAGCAACGAAACTTGTTTTATCATAAGCTTTCCTTATTTTAGAAGCAGCGTCCAGGCAAATCTGGACATATGGGATCTTACGTGAATAGTAATTCCGGGGCCTTAACTAAGCCACTGCCCAACCGGCAGCTCAGGTAGTGCTCCAACGGCTGAGATATTTCCCTCGAAACTGGATCCATCGTATTTGATGGATTCATGCACAACTCATCATTCATCGCAACTCATCATCATCGGCGCCTGATCTCGGGCAGAGTTCACGCGATTTGGTCGTCACGATTGATCCCGACGGACAACTGTAACAATATCATTGCATGCCGATCTTCTTGCATTTCGGTTGTAACAGTTTTCTAACACGATTAATCGTGACTAACTATCACAACCGAAATACAAGAAGATCGCCGCGCAATGAACTCTCGTAACACTCGTCTTGTAGCGATCGCGACGAAGAAATTGCGTGAACTCTGCCCGATGCCATGAGGTCTGTCAGCAAGGGGAAGGTGTTGCAGCTGTTTGGTATCTTCTAATTGTGTTGATCTGTCTTCTGATGATGAGACCATACCGTATTGGAGGCATTCCATTTTTCCTGGTTTCTCTGTTCCTCTTTTTCATCCTGTCTTCGAATTTTTGGGCGAGGTAAGGTTTTTAGGTGTCAGTTATATCAATTCGATCATCCATGGCAGATAGCATTGTACAGCAGTTATTTCTCGAATTTAGAAAGGTTGCCGAATCGACTGCAAGAGGTTTGCAATTTTTGATAGTTTAAGACTAATTTTGGCAGAAAGTGGTTGTCCGGCACAAGCTCTCGCGAACGCGACGCTTGAGCTGCTGACCCTCTTGTGTGCTTATATACGCTGCACTCAGATTTATGGTTTTCTCGCGCGCATAGAAAACTTATGTAGCGACAGAATGATGTGGGACTTGATCATACTGTCTCGAGATTCCGGACACGGCATTTTGATCAGGAAGTTGCTGCCCGAAACAACTTATTCTCCTGCATTCATGCAGACCCGAAAAAAATCTGAGCTTCAGCGCGAGACTCAGTGATATTGTGATATCTAGCTACGGCGCAATTTGCGCTGATACCGTTCTCTTGAGTTTTTTGAATGCATTTCATACCCATATTTTTGAGTTTATACATACTTGCCAGTGATTAAATGGATGTTTATTGGAAACTTTCAACAACATTTACGCTGCCGCCAGTAGTCTTGCAAAAATGGCGAGTTGAAGCGACTTCAGTTGCACTTTTGATTTTGGCCTTTTGCTGATCTCATTTCACTCTACGAATCAAGTGACAGTAGCTCTTCAAGTTGTAGGAGTGTAAACGAAATCAAACGCACGAACACCAGACTAGCTATGGAGTCAATGCATTTCTTCTAGTCAGCGTGGTAATAATGAGAAAAAAATGTTCAGTCATAAAATATAAAGAAATATAGATGTCGATGTCGTCTCTCAAGACCTTGATCTTCAAAGTTCTTCTTCATCATCGTCGACTTCTTTTTCATGATGCATACCGGATCGGGTCGACTGTGGTTGTGCAAGAGCTTTTTTTCCAAAAGAAGGGTGTCATTTTGGAGCTGATGTGCATAGGATAGATGTATATATAAGGTTGGCGCGAAAGTTCTTGCCTAATTCAAACAAATCCAACAACTTTTCAGAAGCTGGACCTAATTTACAGTTCGGAATCTTAAAAATGGTAGAAGGTTTGCGCCTTATGACAGGCGCATAACATTCTTTGAGTTGCCACCGAGAAGGACACTTTCGCAAAAAGCGTTTCAAATTTTGTGAACTTGGGTTTGCTGCCATACATTCGCGGAGGGCCGCCAGCCAGCGCAAAGTATCTGTGAAAATCTTATATATAAAGCTGAATGTCTGTTTGTCTGTATGTATGTATGTATGTCTGTCTGTCTGTCTGTACGTATGTTCCGAATAGAAAATTCCATTTCTGAACCGATCCGGACCAAACTTGGCACACATACACTACGGGCCCCGGCAGGTGTCATAGGCTACTTTCCGTCATCGATCGATATCGATTTTATCGATTTTTTGCAAAATTTGAGCTAGGGGGCTGGGAGTTGGCACAGGGGGTAATCGAGCATGCTGATCACCCCCGTGGGGGTGATCAGCATGCTCGATTACACCCCCCCCCCTGCCAAATTCCAGCTTCCTAGCTCAAATTATGCAAAAAATCGATAAAATCGACATCGATCGATAACGAAAAGTGGACTCTGACACCCGCCGGGGCCCGAAGTGTATGTGTGCCAAGTTTGGTCCGGATCGGTTAAGAAATGGAATTTTCTATTCGGAACATACGGCGGAGCCGGGCCAGCCAGCTAGTTTTTTATATAGCATCTTTATGTTACTATGGCATATAGTCTGCCCCAATCCTAACCAGGCCAAAATTGTCATGGCGGGAGTCGCGTCGCTAGGGTTTCGCGTTCACGCCCCACGGCCTGCTTCTCTGCTCTCTCTGCAATTCTTCTGCTCTCTGCGACAGCGCGTATATGCAGCGCAGACCGCTGGCGCTGCGAGCGCGCAAATTTACGCCGACGGTTCGGCCTGATCCCATTTGGAGCACACTGTATTTTTTCGTATGGAGATGCAAATCAGGAAATATGTGGATTATTATTTCACTGGGTAAATCCCCCTATCGCTTTATTTCTTTCCGCAGAAACACAGTTTGGGACCAAAAATTAGACATGATGTCTATTTTGAAAATCGTGACGTTTTTTGAAGCGGTAGGAGGTGATTTAGCTGAAAAAGTGCGGTAATGAGGAGATTTTTCTTGTAAAAGGACATGTTTCGGAATTTCTTTATATTGTGTTGCCGTACGAGATTGAATTCTACCACACTAACGTACAAACATTTCTGTGTAATTTTCGCAGATTTCTTACGACGGCTAGCACCCCCTCCCCTCCCACGATTTTCTTGCTCCAACTGAACTGCACAATTGTGATACCATTGATGAAATACTGCGACTGAATACTGTGCTACCATTTTTGGAAGCTTCATTCTCGATGGCTAACTTATAGAATGTTAAGCTCAAACATCCGTTATGGAGCGCAAGCCTTCTACTATTTTTGAGATTCCGAACTATGAGTTTAGGTTTTCTGAGAGATCATTGAATTTCGTTTGATTTACGCCAGAACTTTAGCGCCAACTCAATATCATTATCGATATATCAGTTTTTCGTTTCGGACTCAAGCTCAAGGCGCGCAAGTCTCTCACTAGCTTAGATTATAGTTGCGTAAAGTTATGTATATCTTATATATAAAGCTGAATGTGTGTCTGTCTGTCTGTCTGTATGTCTGTCTGTCTGTACGTATGTGCGGAATAGAAATTTTTATTTCTGAACCGATCGGGACCAAACTTGGCACACATATACTTCGGGGCAGGGAGCGTGTCATAGGCTACTTTTCGTTATCGATCGATATCGATTTTATCGATTTTTTGCAAAATTTGAGCTAGGGGGCTGGGATTTTGCACAGGGGGGTAATCGAACATGCTGATCACCCCCGTGGGGGTGATCAGCATGTTCGATTCGATTACCCCCCTGTGCAAAATCCCAGCCCCGTAGCTCAAAATTTGCAAAAAATCGGTGAAATCGACATCGATCGATAACGAAAAGTGGACTATGACACGCTCCCTGTCCCGAAGTGTATGTGTGCAAAGTTTGGCCCCGGGCGGAGCCGGGTTTGCCATCTAGTATATATATATGTAGGAAGAGCACAACGCCCAAACTGCACAGATAAGCACAAGTTTTGAGGAAGTCGCCCTTAATATATTTCGCAAATAAGCAATAGCGTTCCCGTTAGCCAAACGGGAAATGCTTTGGATCAGCAAAAGCAAATTAAGTGTCTGTAGTGCTTACAGCAAAAAACTGTGACTATGCTAATCCAATGCATCCTCTTTCAAACACTTTCTCGGCCAAAGTATGAAATTAAATATGTCGCAACTCAGCTGCGCTAATTGCAGAACTGTTTTGAATCCCTTCAATGCAGTAACTCGGAAGAGCAATTTACATTCTTTTTGAGAGTTTACAGAACTCAAAACAAAAGCTTCCTTCGACATTCTTGCTACATAAACACAAGTGACACATCATTATTACCAGACTATTTGCGTTTAGATCAGTGCAGGCAAAACGCGACTTTTTCTCCAAAAGAAAAACACTGGAAATTCCTAGGAAGAAGTAGCGAGCAGCGAAGGAGTGCTTTTGCATTACTTTCTATCCAGGATGAATAAACATTGGCTAGAAACTCGACTGAATGTTTGGAGAGGAGGATACATTTAAAAATTGGGAAAGATGAGAACTTCAGAGAAAAAACCAGAAAGTTTTTTTCGTTCTCATTTGGAATGGATTGCCGACAGGCTCAAATTAAACTGCCGCTCGCTTTGCTTCAAAATCAAAGAATTACCCGTGAAGTATGAACTCACGCGATCGCAACGACAACGCGGTGATGTTCAAGTGCGGGGTGGGAGTTCTTTGTGCAGTGATTCTTGACTCACTAAATCCGGAGAAGTGATGGCCTGACAAAATCGTTGTGCGTCGTGCTAAAAAGTCAACACTACGTTACAAAAGCACAGCAGTAACTTCAAAAGTTTTTAGGGAAGCTTGAAGAATACGATACGATTTTAAATTACCATACTATAGACACTATAGGAAGAAAAGCGAAGAAAGTAATTAAATTCAGCCTGAAGAGTGGAATCGACGTCAAAAAGGAGTACAGTTCGAATCGCGCGATTGCCGCTCTTGATGTGGCTGCGTACATATGAAATCACGACTAAGGCGGAACTCACAGTAAACCACCCACTGTCTCTTTGGCAGTGGCGCTGTCTCGAGCGGCTCAAATTCCACGCGACCTTTTCGCTAAGGCTGTGCACCTCGTCGCAGACGTGCTCTTCGATTATTTCCCCACCCAGTCACTTACTTAGGCCCGTATGCACGTACAGGGCTTTACAACCTGAGTGTCCCACCCGCCCCGCTAGGACGCCACGCTTAGGTCCGCGCAGCGTTCGTGGCGCTGGCTGCGCGTCGACTGAAGCTTGGCGAAATCCGGGCGATACGCAGCAAACGCCGCGCGCGGCCTGAGCGAGGCGGCCGCGTTGGAGGAGCCGCGCAAGCGAAACTTGCGACTCTCAGGTTGAAAAGCCCTGTACATCCCCGCTGGGGAGGGAAGGGGATCTGAGAGGTGATGCGTGATATCTCGCTACTCTAGGTATTTTTCTTCTTCTTTCTTTATCTTGCTTATGAAGGTACTCATACCCTAATACCTGCGCAGAATTGATGCCAAATTACTGGCATGATTGATTAGATTTTCACTATTTTGTGTGATCCTTGGGGATCCCCAGGGAATCCTCAGGGGATCACCTCTCAATGCTATGTATCTTTCTGAAAACACAATGAAAACGCTGAAAATTATGCTGAGGATATACTACGGCGCTGCTAAGCATGTCTTCGACAGGAGAAATCTAATCTGAAAATTGTGAATTTTTCGATGATCCCTAGCCGCGAGCAGGGATCACCGAAAATTTCGGTATCCTGAAATTTCACTTATTTTTACTATAAGCATCTTCAGCAGTGCCGTAATATGTCCATAGAACATTTTTACAGCGTTTTCAATGAGTTTTCAGAAAGATACATGGCGATTGAGAGGTGATTCCGTGGAGATTCCCTGGGGATCCCCAGGGCTCAAACAAAATAGTGAAAATCTAATCAATCAGCAACCTGACATCAATTATGCGC